AGAACCCAAAGTTGTTTTCCAACCAAACTGCGCTGTTATTGGCCGAGGAGATGCACTGAGGGTCTAAAACAATTTGTAAGTTATCACCATACAAAATAAGATATTAGATCAAAACATGCGTTATATTCAAATTTTCTAAATAAATGTTGCCTGTTAGCACAATATTTGAAGAAAAACAAGAGTTCAACGGCACACCCTTGACTTCTGACAGGGTTTCCTTTTTTTTACTCTAAATGAAATCACATTATGTCACTTTTTTTCTTTTGTTTGTCAACTTTTTATGCAAACCTCTTATTTGCAGGGATATAACATATATATATATATATATATATATATATATATATATATATATATATATATATATATATATACATACATATATTTTTTTTCCAGTTTTTCTTTTTAGTATTGATCCAAACCACCGTTTTTAACTTACCAGAACTGTTGTGATTTTGGAGAAAAGAGAAGATGAAATATTTGTAGATATTATATGAGGAATCATCGGTCAAGGAACTTGATCCCAGCGCTGCCACCCTGCACACAGCATAAAACCACGGTGAGCACATTGGGACCAAACCATGCATCAACCTTTCACTCTGAACTCTGAACTCACAGGGTTTGGAAAGCACGACAGGAGAAGTTCTTGGTGCTCAGACAGGAGAGAAGGGTTGGGGAGACGTTAGGCAGGAGGGGCGACAGTTTGGTCCTGAACCACAACTTGATGAATCCTGGGTCCTCCAGGTGCTGCTGGGTCAGAGACGGAGGCTCCTCCTCACTAAATATTGCCTGAAAATCCGACATGAGCTCTCCGAAGTTCTACGAGAAAAGAAGAAGCACCGATTTAGGATTCTGTCGGACGATTTGTGCAGTAAAACGCCCTGATGATGTCAGTCACAGTGGCTAGTTTGTACTCACTGCTGTGGACAACTCTTTGATCAGGGAGTTCAGACGTCTCATGAGCTCATCGATTAGCCTCAGGACCGTAGTCTCTGTCATCGTCAGGTTGGTTCGAGCAGCGCAGTGTAAAACGTTGGCCACATGCTCCACATCATCAGTCAACTGGTCGCACAAATGAGGTAAAAACATCTCATCAGAATTTTATAAAACGGGAGAAAAGTATAATAAACTCTGAAAACACAAGAAGCCTCACCCCACAGGGGGTCTTATCAAGGGTCATGCTGCAGACGTCCTGGATTTCAGAAGTGGTGTTCTCCACACTCTTGTTTAAATAGCTGCAATAAAAGAATTACAAAAGGTTTTAGGTTTCAGACACGAAAAAAATCAGGAACACACAACAACGAGTTTAATCTAACGTCACCCTGACTTACAACAGTTCGTGAAAAGCAAGTGTGACGTTTTCATGCATCAGGTCTCCCTCGCTGGGCCAGAACGTCTGCAACACCGGGATGACAACGTGCTGATACCAGTCGTCCACATTCATCACATCAAACTGAGCCGTCTCAGAGGCCGAGGACGAGTTCTGTGACTGGTAGATGTTCGCCAACTCAGACAGAGTAAAGTTGAGCAAGAACTGAGTCAAAGTGGTGCCTTTTATTTCGGACACATTCCTCTGTAGAAACAACAGACCTGGGATCAGTTTTACGCTCAGGGTCTCTCTGTGAAAGCTCATCGTTAAGGGTTTTTTACCTGATTGGTGAAGGAAACAAATTCATGAGCAAAACTTCCAACTGTTGTGAACGCCACACTGAATCCATTCAAAACCTGCAAGTGGAAGTAAAAATATTTGGAAAATTTAACAATACTTTTTTCCTCCTTTTGTCCTTTTAAGTATTTTTTAACAGTTTGACTCTTGTTCTTGGTCACTTAATGATCTGTTAACTAAAAACTGAGAAAGATCGTAATCGTGTGTAAGCTAGGCAATATGTAGTGGCATTCAGAGATTCCTTTTACAGGAAAAAGGAAAATCAATTTTTATTTCTGCTTTAAATCCGGCAGGAAGTTCAGGACAGATCTGGCTGTGACGTTAGCGGATCACTGATCAACCAGGCTGGCCAGTTTAAGACGCTCGTTTCAGAGGCTTTTCTGTGTCTCATTTAATTATAATGCCATGTGTCTGACACCATACAAGAAGAGGTTAGGAGGTCTAGCTAAGCTTTCTCAAAATTGACCTCTTCAAGAAACATTCCCTCCAAATTAGCATCTTTGCATTTTCTTTTTTAAATACAAATGGGAGATATTTGACAACATGAAGTGTTTAGAATTCCTTCATGTTTTTATTCTTTGTGTTTGATTATCATGTGTTGGTTTGTTCTTCTGTCTCAGACTTGCTGGAGCTAATAAATAACCAAAACTTTAAAGCTTGGTTTAGTACAAATGGACTAAAATTGAAATTTAACTCTGTTGATGCCAACGGTGTTCACAAAAATGAAAACTTGGCATCCTTGTAGAACCTGGAGGTTGAAGCATAAACAAAACAAGCGGCCCCTAGGGGATGATTTTGGTTTGTTTGAAGCCCCGCCCTCTTCAGATGATTAAATGGAACATTTTACTTAGTTCAAAGTAAAAATACACATCAGGAATCTTTTTCCCGATGCTGACCTCTCTTAATTCAGGTCATTCTTGTATAATAAAATATTGTTTTATTCTTGAAGAAACACTAAAGGCTTTTTAATGTTTTAAGCTATTTCATTCAACTGGTTTCAGGGATTCTTGAGGCAGAAATTTGACCACTGCACTTAATTTTGTGGTTCTGGTAGGAACTCTAGTGGGCGGCCTCTGCTTCGCGGGCCGGCAGTAGCTGCTTTACTATTCTAGCTAGCAGTTAATTTTTTTTTGTCAAAAACCACAAGAAGAAAAATAAGAATTTAGCTTTTTGGCATCATGGTAGAGCTTGGATATAAAAGTAAGAGAGTAGTGTCTCTGGAGGTGAAGCAAAAATCTAAAACCAGAGTAAACATTGGCACAGCCTACACTCGTTTGAAGGAGCTGAAGGAGACTACAAAACAATGATGATGACCTGGCTTTGTTGCTTCTGCACTTGTAAGTAATATTATATTATTATGTTATTTTATCTAACGGTGTGGATCCTTTTACTTCTTGGATCATTTTAATATCAGATGGCTCACGTTAGCTTTAGCTTGTTTTTAGCGCTAGCAGGCTGCGGCAGGGTTGTTCAAGACAGTTGTAATTCTGCTTTCAACCAGTAGGAGGGAGAAGCGGGAAACTTAATTAGTGTTGCTTTAGCTGCAAATAAATTATTTGATGCTTTTAAAACACCATGATTGTATAATTTCAACCCCACATCTCAAATGTGCAGACTGCGTGTCTAAAAATGGCGCTTCGGTATATCGGCTTTGCTTTTCTAAATTGGACACATTTTTTTTTCACAATTTTAAAAATGTTAAAACTATCGATGTATCTTATTCTCAGCATTTATGAATATCAAACCTTATTTTATAGCTGTTGTTTCAGGAATGTAGGTGTTAAATGTCTGTCTTACCTGTGTGAGTGTGTTTTGAGACGATTTTGGGTATGGGTTATATGTAGAAGGTAACGTGGGTGAAGATCCTCCTGTCAGCAAACTGTGGAAGACAAGGGACAACGTCCCGTTGTCTAGATTCTCCACCCCAGGACTCAAAAGCAGCTCGGCCTTTTGGGTTGGAGACAGCAGGTTGAGAACCTCCAACTGGGAGGAAGAACACAAGAAGAAGGAAACAGGAATTAAATCAATTTTATTTAACCATTACTCATAAGTTGCAGTTTAAATCTGCTTCAAGGGCACCAAAGTCTAATCATGAGTCAGCCTAACTCACTCCACTGAAGACTAAGTTGAGAGAAGAGAAGTCATTCAGTCGACCCATCGCTCTAAATGCACCAAAATTCTTCAGCAGCCACTCCTCACTGGTTTCACCTGGATTCACACAACCTTCAGAGAAATCACACACACACACACACACACACACACACACACACACACACACACACACACACACACACACACACACACACACACACACACACACACACACACACACACACACACACACACACACACACACACACACACACACACACACACCAGAAAAAATAGAGAGTTCTGTTGTGTTTTGTTTGTTGTTGCTTTGCAGAATTCTTCGTTTATCTGCTGGAATTAGATCTGTTACCACAGGCAAAAGATTTCCCACGTTTTTTCTCTCTCTTAATTTTAATTTATTCAAGTATTTTTATACATCAGTTGGTTAAGACAGATTTCTGAATAAAGGGGAGGATGTTGTGTTTTTACATCGTTAGTGAATTTTAGCAGCAGTTTTTCCAACATCATTTACTCTGTCTCAGTTCATCCTTTTTGTGAAACTTTGAGTTTAATTTTGAAACAGATCCTTGAACAAAAATCTACATTCATCTTTATTTTTTATCTAATGAAGCACAATTAGTATTTCCTTTACCAGCAACTGCGTTTCCAGAGAGGAAGGGGTACATGAAGAAGTTGTAGAGCCACTGTTGTCTTTCAGGATTCATATCAGAATAATACTGACTGATCTCCCTCACACTGCAAAACAGAGTACGATGCTAATGGTTAAGTATTATCATCAAAACAGCTGCTAGCAGAAAGTAACACACGCACATGATCTGGTAGGTGGAGCAGCTGAAGTTCTTGGTGCTGAGACATGACAGGAAGTGTTTGGTGATAGAGTTCAGCAGAGGTATCATCTGGACCTCCACCCACATCTGGACCAGAGCTTCATTTTGGAGAACGTGTGCATCTGGTCTTAACTCCAGAGCTCCTTCCAGGTTGAGGAGAGGCACGCCTTTCATGCTGGACTTCTGCAATAACAGTATGGTGGGAAAATGACACACATGTTTAATTGGGAATTGTGGGTTTAAAACCATCCAAGCAGCTTTATTTCCTTCTGAGTCAAGGCTTTGAAGAGTGTCACAATGTAACGTTTCATCATGACTTGACAGAAATGAATTCTGAGGAGCATGACAGAACTTGTGCAGCATTTCTCATGTCGGGTGCCTATCAGAGTCATACCATGAAGGTGTACAGGTCCATTGTAGCTCCAAGCAGTGCTTTGAGTTTTTGTATGTGGTCTTTCCCAGTGTCTGTGGAAGGTAATCCCACACACTGCAGGAACTGAGACGTTGCATCCTTTAAATTTAGAACAAGATGAATACGTGAGAAACACACAAATCAATTATTCTCTTCACATGTGTAATGAAGCAACTTTCTGAAGTTTCACATAAATGCAAAACCTTCAGTATTTACTCGTGCTGCCTCTGGACCACTTGTCATTTACATAGTTAGTTGGTGTTTACCTTAAAAATCCACAACTGCCTCATTTTTAAATAATTTTTCTCTTTTTAAAGAGTAAAACCAGATCAAACTGTACAGAAGTGTATAGCTGCCTCCCACGCAAAAATAAAATTAGAGTGATATCACGTTAACTTTATTCTTCCTACAGTAAAACTTTTAAGTTTGTGCAAAATACCACATTCTTATAACACAAATGTTATATTGTACAAACATTAAATCTACATTGTTAGAACATGCTAATATAATGCACAAATTCATATTACGTGAACACTACATTGTCAGAACAATAAAGTTAAGATGTTATAACGTGACATTGCTGCAATTGTATTTCTTGTGGGTGGCAGCAAATATGCTTCTGCAAACCTGAAACTACAATAAAACATTTAAAATTAGAAAACTGGTTTATTTAACAAATTGAAAAAGAAGAGGCTTGTCAAAAGGGTCAAAGGTTTTCAAAGCTGACGACCTCCAGCCAGAGAACTTCAGAGCTCCCCTCCTTCTCCACCGTAGACCAAACACACGTAGATCTGGCTTTGCAATTACTCACGACAACATAATTAACAGAAATGCTCCTGCTGTTTTCAGGATTCTTTCAAGGTAAAAAAAATGTGATTTTCCAAAGAATTGTCAAGTAAATTTTGGTTATATGTCTCATAGTTTTTATTTAGAGATTTTTATAGTTTTTATTTATTAATTTTTTTTTTCAGAAAAATGGGACCTTGAGAAAGCAAAGAAAAAATTACAAAATAAAAATGATTATTTGGAAATCTAATATTGTCAGAAGAGCCATCTGTAAGATGTTTATGAGACATTTTAGATAAAGAACAGAGTTATTTTTGTTTTGATTTTTTTTCTACACTGTCTGTGATTCTGGGAATTCAGATGAGGTGTCCTCACCTAGCCTGAAACCTTGTTTCATGGAATAGTTCTTATCACGACAACTAAGTGTTAGTGATGAATAAAGTGGAAAAAATGTTCAAGTGAAAATATTTTTGTTGGTATTTGATTTGAGTTGTTTTGTGGGTGCAGGTAGGAGGAAGAGCATGTTACACATAAATAAGCAACATCACATTTCCAAAGCTAATTCTTGGTTTACGATAAATGACTTGCACTTGTATAGCGCCTTTCAGGGTCAGAGGTCTCCAAAGTGCTTTGCACTACAGTGAATCATTCATTCACACACTGGCAGTGTGGTCACAGCTGCCCTTGGGCTCACGGACTGAGGAAAGGCTTCTGAGCACAGGCGTCATCAGTCCCTCTGACCACCACCAGCAGGCAAAGGGGGTTAAATGTCTTGCCCGAGGACATTATCTGTCTGGAGCCAGGATCGAACCTGCAACCTTCCGATTACTGGACAACCTGCCCTACCTACTGAGCTACGTCTGTGGTTTTCTCAGAACTTATAAATATTCTTAGTGCAAAGTGATGAATCCTTTGTACAGAAAGGAAGTTAAAAAGGGTTCAACCTGACTCGGGATTCACCTGATAAATTTAATTAAAGTGAATGAAATAAATCAATCTAACTAAATTGAATGATATTAATCTTTAACACGTAACTGATTTGATGTGAGGCATCTGGTATGGTTTAAAAAGAAATCAACAAAACTGCAAAATAAAACATGGAAGGATTTCATTCAGCGCATTTGCATGAAAAAAAAAATCATCAACATCATCATCAAGTACAGAAAAAGAAAACTGAAGTAGAACTCACCAGACCACATGTTGTACATAATGCATTTCTAAAGTGGAATTTAAAAAAGGACAAAACAGTTTAAAATGTACAAAAGCATATTTGATGCTCTGTAATAAAATGTTAAATCTTATTCAACTCACGTCTGCGCACTCGACCTTCCTGCTGGGGGGAAGAAAGGGGAACAGTTAGATTTAAACACGCTTTTTTGATTTTAGTTATTGTTTTAATTACTTTATGAGTCAAACATAATAAAAAAGAGTTACTGTTGAAGTACAAGAAAATCCTTAAAAACATGCAGCAATTATAAAATGTGTAGCATTTACAGTAATGCATCTCTTAAATATTCTGACGTGATGTTTTGCATGAAATTTTGAACATTAAATAGCTCTCTGAACAGCTTCAGTCTGGAGAAACACAGATTCATCAAGGTTTATCTGACAATCTACAGCTGGTAGATGCAAGTTACAAAGTAACATAAAACTATCTCAAAACTTTCGCGTCAGTTTCTGCAAATGTTATTTTCGAACCACTAAATTTTCTTAAATTTCAAGTTTTATCATCTTTCCAGCTAAAATTCTAATGACATTTCTGACACAACAGCCACAGCAGCTTCTCCTTCAGCTAATATGAGCCACAAATTACCACAGGATGCATGTGATTAACCGTATGATGCTAGATTAGTTATGGTGTAAAGAGATATAAATAATGTTCTGATTAACTGTTTTTGTATTTTAGAGATTAGAGTTGTTTTGATATGACAGAAACACCTTGCATCTGGCCCCACTCAGACTAGCCGTTAGCTCATCAATCTAGTCACAACTAATCATTGTTTCTCCAAACTGAGGTTGGCGAAAAGTCTTTCTACCACTGGTAGGATATTAGCTGTTCGTGACCAACTGAAGAAACCCACCTTAGACAGTGTGATCTACCTCTTAACTGTTGGAGTCAACCCTGTGTGTTTGTTAGCAACATGTCTTGTGAACTTTACAGACACCATGTTTAACTTCTGTTTATTACCTCTTTTGAGCTTTTCAAAGACGTTTCCCCCACGTTTTTTTGTCTGTTTCTAAAGTTGTAATGTGATAGAGGATCACATCTGTGGATTTGTTCACTTTTTGATTGTTTGAATCACAACAGCAAAGAAGCTGCTGGTTACACAGGGTCCCATAGGGTTAAATAGGGTTGTGATCATGTACCATTTTATCTACCATGTAGATTGTGATGTAGATACATGGTGAAAATAAACACAATTTCTAAGAGGTGTGACCAAGTCACTGCTTTGCAAGTCACAAGTAATTCACAAGTCTTTCCAGTCAAGTCCCGAGTCAAGTCCAAGTCAAAGACAACCAAGTCCAAGTCGAGTTCAAAGCCAATGATGTGGAAGTCCAAGTCAAGTCCATGTCCTTAACTTTGAATTTTCAAGTCATATTCAAGTCATCTGTTAAACTTCAATTTAATAGAATAGAGAATAGAATAAAATATCCTTTATTGTCACTATACACACTCGTACAACGAAATTTGGAAGCCACTCCCGGGTGCAAGTTGAAAGAGATACATAACACTTAACAATTAAAATTCAATCAGGACAAATACTTCCCTGTAAGAAATACATAACACTACAATAACTAAAATTCAGTCTGGACAAATCCTTCCTTCATAAATTTTACAAAATTAGAACCATGCAGCTTGTGTGGTTCCATCAGGGCTACACCTGCAAACATTAGATAAAATAAGAACATGTCCTTTCAAATTAGCACGTTCTTTTTGTTGTTAACCGCCATGATAGCCCTGGGAAAAAAACTGTCTCTGAAGTGGTTTGTCCTGGTCCTCTGGGATCTGTACCAATGACCCGATGCCAACAGCTGAAAAAAGTGGTTCCCAGGATGGAACTTGTCCTTAATGATGTTGGAAGCCCTGCTGAGATAACAGGGGTATGCTAAGTCCTCCAGGCTGGGCAGCGAGCAGCCAATGATCCTCTGGGCTGAATGTATAACCCTCTGAAGTACTCTCCTGTCTGCAGCAGTGCACCCTGCATACCAAATAGTTATCCCGTATGCTAGGATGCTCTCAATAGTGGCTCTGTAGAATGTCACCATCAGTCTCTCCTCCAGGTTGTTCCTCCTGAGCACCCTCAGAAAGTGGAGACGCTGCTGAGCCTTTTTTGATACTGCCGTGGTGTTAGAAGACCAGGAGAGGTCATCAGAGACCATGACACCCAGAAACCTCATGGAGTGAACTCTTTCCACACGGTCCCCCTGGATGTAGAGAGTCTGTTGACCTCATCTCTTTAGTTTGTCTCATCCCCTCCAGAGATGAGCCCAACCACGGTGGTGTCGTCTGCAAACTTTATGAAGGTGTTGGAGAGATGGATTGGAACACAGTCCCATGTAAAAAGTGTGAACAGGAGTGGACTCAGTACACATCCCTGAGGAGAACCAGTACTGAGGGTGATGTTGCTGGACTGATGAGGGCCAAGTCTTACAGACTGCAGTCTGTTTGTGAGAAAATCCTTGATCCACCGGCAGATAGAGTTGGAAAATCCCAAATGAGCCAATTTCTGGACCAGGAACTCCAGAATGATGTGGTTAAATGCTGAACTGAAGTCTAAGAAAAGCATTCTCACATAGCTTCCCTGGTGCTCCAGATGGTCCAGCGCAGTGTGAAGTGCTATGTTGATAGCATAGTCTGTAGATCGATTAGCCCTGTGGGCGAACTGATGTGGATCTAGGGTAGGTGGCAAACTACCCCTGATGTGCTGGCAGACCAGTTTTTCAAAGCACTTCATCACAACAGGAGTGAGTGTGATCGGCCTGTAGTCGTTCAGAGAGTCTGCTGCTGTCTTCTTAGCAATGGGAACTATAGTGGCGGTTTTGAGGCAGGGAGGAACGATGCATAGTGACAAGGACCTATTGAAGATGTTAGTAAAAACCCTCGCCAGTTGGTCTGCACAAGCGCTGAGAACTTTCCCTTGGATTCCTTCCGGGCCTGCCGCCTTCCTGGGATTAACTGACTTTAAAACGCGTCTCACTTGGTCCTCCTGCAGAGTCAGTGTGCCGTTGTTTGGGACGGGTGGGGGTGGTATGGCCACCGCAGGCCTGGTTGTCTCAAAACGGGCAAAAAAATGGTTTAAGTCCTCGGCCAGTAGTCTGTCGTCCTTTGATGTTTCCTGTTTCCTGCCTCTGTAATTAGTGATGTGGTTTATTCCCTGCCACCTTGCCCTGGGATCGTTGTTTGCAAAGTCATCCTCAATTTTCCTCTTGTAGGCTGTTTGGCTTGTCTGATGCCTTTCTTTAGTTCTGCCCTCGCTGCCTTATACGCTGCCTGATCACCCAACTTAAAGGCAGTGTCCCGGCTTCTTAGAAGAGAATTCACCTTACTAGTCATCCAGGGTTTTTGGTTTGGGAACACTCTGATCCGTTTGTTTATGGTCACAGTTTCCACACAGTTCCTAATGTAGGAAAGTACGGTATCGGTGTGCTCCTGTAGATTTTGGCTGTAGAATAAGTCCCAAATAGTTGAGGAGAAGCAGTCACGTAGCTGTGAGATGGCTCCTTCAGGCCAGATTTTGATGATCTTAGTTTGGGGCTTACTTTTCCTCAGCAGGGAGACGTAAGTGGGAGTGAGGGACAGACAAAGGTGATCAGATCCAGCCAGATGTGGGAGGGATTTCGCTCTATAGGCGCTTCTGATGTTTGAATAAACATTATCCAAGATATTTTTCCCTCTGGTGGCAAAATCGACAAACTGGACAAATTTGGGCAGCACCGTTTATAGGCACGCTTTATTAAAATCTCCAGCAACAATGAAGACCCCGTCAGGATGCGTAAGCTGCAGCTTATTTATTGTATTGAGCAGGAGGCTGAGGGCCGTGCTCACGTTAGCCTCCGGCGGTATATACACAGCCACCACAATCACTACTGTAAACTCCCTCGGGATGTAAAAGGGTCTGCATGAGACCACCAGAAACTCCACATCAGGAGAACATTGTGTGTAGATGGTGCGGCTGTTGCAGCACCACTCATTGTGCACGTAAACACACAGCCCACCCCCCCAATAATAATGACAATGATCATAAATAAACTCCAGAAATAAAGCTTCTTAAAGCTTCATTTATTTGCTCAAACCAAGCCCCCACAATGCGGCTCAGAAATTGAGGCCATCCCGGAAGTACCAAAAATTGTAGTTCCAACCTCATCCACTAGGGGCTGGTGTCAGAAGCGAGCAAATCCTCGTTGACTCCCATGTTAAAAATACCAATTTCACAGCAGAAATAAACATGTTTACAGCCTGGTACCAAAACATGTTTTTTGTTTAAATGATCTAGTTTACACTCATGACAACTCTGAGGGTGGTGAATTTTTTTCTCACTCTTCTGTTTAAGTGTATTAAAAGCCTAAAATTCTGTATAATTAATGAGCATCAGACCCGCGTGACCACAGAGCTAGCTCTGGCGAAAGGCCTCAGTAGAGCCTCGGCCTGGCTTGGAAACTGTTCCGGGATTTTGAGTCTCTGTGTTTGTATATTCTGTTTTGGATATTTTTTGTGCAATTGTTGGACAAAATGACTTGCTGTGGTATTAATTGCACTAATAGAGCGTCCAAGGAGTCTCCACTTCATTTTTTTCGGTAAGTAAAATTATATTTATGTATTTTAGGTCGCTGCCGAGCTGAGCTTAGATTTTAACATGTACTGTTTAACCATGAAATTTAAATGTAATAGGGTAAAACCCAGTGCATTTAACATAATGCTGCACTTTAGAAAATGGGTTGAAATATAACATGTTGGTGGAGCTGGGTTCCTGGCTTGTGGAGCTCTCGGAGACCTCTGTGTTCCACCCGGTTTTACCCAGCGGTCAGCCCGGCGTATCTCTGACTCAGAAGCTCTGGTGTTGTGCACAGTTAACTCCGGTTGTAGCTAGGTTGCTACCTCCATTAGCTTAGCTCCCACCTCTACATTAGCTTTGGGTTAGCTTCAGGTTATCTTGTAGCTAGTTCGACCGGGTGTCGTCAGTTGATCCCAGCCTTACAGCCCCACCCTCAGCTCCACCTCTCTTCCCTTTTGTGGAATTGTCTGGGGTTGACGGAACCTGTGACACGGTCAAAATGGTGGCGGTGGCCACCTCCCATTTAGCCTTAAAACGTGTTATTGGAGCTATGGAAATGAATTGTCCAATATTTATATGTCGATGGCTCAAACAAGCAGGAAGTGCAACTGAAACTGATTATAAACAAAGTGCTGCTGCATTTAGCAGAACAAGATCAAACCCAGAACGAAGAATGATTTATGATTTTTGTCCATGTCGGGCAACATTTGTCCTAAAATATCAAATACTCTCAAGTCATCATCAAGTCAACAGATGCAAGTCGATATTTATATGTCGATGGTCGATTCAAGTCGCAAGTCATTGGCGTTCAAGTCCGAGTCAAGTTGTAAGTCTTTATAGATTTTATCAAGTCAAGTCAGAAGTCACTGAAATAATGACTCAAGTCTGACTCGATTCTAAGTCATGTAACTCGAGGCCACGCGTCTGCTATTTCTTTACATGTAGCGTGTGTACACACAAAAAACACACAAATTACCAAATGAACCAAAGGAATATGTGATTCAGTGAGGAAATAGAAGTCAAGGGGGAAAAATACGTGTGTGTGTGTGTGTGTGTGTGTGTGTGTGTGTGTGTGTGTGTGTGTGTGTGTGTGTGTGTGTGTGTGTGTGTGTGTGTGTGTGTGTGTGTGTGTGTGTGTGTGTGTGTGTGTGTGTGATCAAATCTGCTCTTACCAAAGATGAATCCAAGTAGGTAAACCAGCAGGAACAGAGAGTGTGGTTTCATTATGTGAGCGGTCTCATGGGAAGTGAGGTCTTTGTGCTGGGAATGACTGCAGGGAGAAAAACAACAAAGCAGGAGACACACAGAAGTGAGGGTGGGTTAGAAATCAGAGTAGAATATACAACATTGGCCATTTATTTTTCAGATTTCCAGTCAACTCCTAAACCAAAAACAACATTGAGTCCTGTATGACGTCTCTAAAAGTCTGCTCACAAGTCATGCACGTGAACGTTTGATTGATTACAGCGATCTAAAGAAAAGAAAGAAAATAGGCTTTTGTTGGTTTGGCCTTTGTTTTAATGTCCTTTAACCCTCATGCCTTTGTGGTTCTACAGCAAACAGGAATGAGGGAGTGGCAGTCAGATATTTTACAGTCAGTGGCATACAGAAAGAAACCTTTACCACGGCAACATGAACATGACAATAATGGCTAAGTGGAAAGAATGATGAGACTCAGCACCATTCAGCTCTACATAAGTAGCACAAAGGCAGGCTATGTTCCCTTTAACTATAACATATCACTAAATAGTAGACTTTCTGAACTTTTTATTCATTTGATGTTTTTCTGTTTGTCTATCCTTCTGTCAGAAACCAATCAGAAATATGTCTGTGAACTGTTTCCATTGGATGCAGCTTTTTCAAAGTAAAAGTCACCATGTTTTTGTCTAAATAATTCATAAAATGTTTTTGCTGGTTGTATAATTGCACGTAAAGTTGGAGGTGATATTAGAGTTAGAGGTTTCCTTCGTTTGGATCTTACCCAAGGACTGCGTCACACGGCAAATGTAACTAATAAACTAAACACCTGTACCAATAAATAAATAAATAAAACTACAGAGATATCTGAAAAATACTTAAACGTCATTGGTCTTAATTCCCCAAATGAACATCCATAGGAAGACAAATTTCATTGCTTTTCTTCATGATGACAATATTAAAGGCTTTTAAAGTTGTTTTTAAGTAAGTATCGAATAGATTTTTTTCAACAACGAGAATGAAGCGGGGGCCTCCATCTTATCCGGATGGAAGGCACCCAGTGGGGAATATTTTGGATTCCTGGGAAGAGTGGAATATCGTATGCTTTCCCAGCTGTCTGTCGAGGACATCAAAGACACATCGACTTTTGTCATCATGGTTACTGTATTTCTTTTGCTTGGAGTGAGAGGATTTGGAAGGTCGAGTGCAATTGGAGTGTCACCCAACTGCTCAGACTCAGATGTTGATCAAGGTGAATTGCAAGCTAGAGGTTTTAGCTGCGATTCCAACGTTAGCACGCAAATTGGTTGTCATCTTGGAGAAAGTTACTGCAATGTATGGAAACATTTAAACCCACTTTTTGGATTCACTGAGGGACTGAAGACTAGATAAGAACTGCAAAGCAGAAAGGACATTATCTCTGCCTGCCCCAAAACAACTCTTCTTATCTGAATCTCACATCCGAGCATTCGTGAGGCTGCAGAGAAGAAAATCCCCCACAGAAGGAGTGCGGACAGATGCTTTGAAACACCACAGCATACCAAACCATCTTTATCCAGCTTCACTGGCTACCAGTCAACTTTCTTTCAAGATCCTGGTTCTGGTCTTTAGGGCCTTACATGCAGGGCTGGACTGGGACAAAAATTCAGCCCGGGCATTTTGATTGGAGACCGGCCCATCACCTGGTTTTTTTGGAAAAGACATTAAGCCTTATGCTGTTTCTGACACACACCAACGTACACTTTCTTATTGGTAGTATTTATGTATCAATCTAATAAACGTAAACCTACACCATCCTTCCTATCCTGGTATTCTAAAAAAGTAGGGTTGGGGGCAAATGATTATTTTTAAAATGATTATTCTGACGATTATTTTATCGAATAGTCAACTATTCTAATGACTATTTAGATGATTAATTTAGCGATTATTTTTCTATTGCACAATTAATAAAAACCAAAAAATCTCAAATAAATTCCTCCAAAAAATTGATAAGTTGTTACTGTAAGAGAATAAACACTACAGGCCTTCCATTTTGTATAACACTGCTTTTATTGTGTTGCGGTTGTTTATATTCTGGTGACGTGTAGATCATGCAGGCTGCTGCCTGAGAGGTGGTTGGAGACGGAGTGTCTCCATGCTGCTTTGTTTTGGTCACTTATGTGCATGAGGCAAGTGGTGTTACAACCCTTGCTGGGGAGTCACGTGTAAAGGGTTAAATTTACCTAAATATTACCTTATTTATTATCTCTTGATGTTATTCGTCCCTATTTCTGTGGTTAATTGACAATAGTTTCCTGAAATGTTTCTCCTATTTTAACTGTAAATCCTTCTAGCTGTTATATTTATAACAAGAAACAGATATTCGGACGGAATATTTTCATGTTTATTCGAATATGATTGTGGAACACACCCAGCATCATAATAAATGAAGTCATATTTATGCCAATTTAAGCCTTTATGGGTGACCAGGACACTGTGATCAATTTTTGGCAAGGGAAATTATCATTTGTTGCCATTTTTGAGGTGTTTATGAATGTGGAAGACACCCAGCATCCTGTGATGGCACTAATAACATCAAGAGATAATAAATGTAACCCTTTACAGGTGACCAGGACACTGTAATCAATTTTTGGCAAGGGAAATTATCTTTTTTTTTTTTGTGCCATTTTTGGGGTGTTTTTGATGATACAGTAGGCAGTATGAGTACAGTAACATCAACAGATAATACATAAAACCCTTATTTGGTCAATTTTAGCCTCCATGAAAATATGAGCGATTCAATCACTTTTTGGCAAGTAAAATGCCATTTTAGTTATCTACAATTAAATCATCAATAAAGAATTTAAAGACATTTTGAGGCGTTTCTTATAGGTAAACGGGAGGGTGTAGTCTATTTGGCAAGTGACAATCTTAATTGTATGTGCTGAAGTGCTTTTATCTTGTTACTTTTAAATAGAGCAACGTAATGTTTAGCAACTTACACAGTGTCATTGTAAAGCCAAAGCTTGATCATTTTAAATACTTTTTTTCCAAGTAAAAATGTGCCCCAAACTAGTTAACCGTGGCTCCATGTCAAGTGGACTAAAGAAAGGAAGGGGAAAAAAATTAAATCGCTGGAGAATTGTTTATTTACATTTATACAACGTTTACATTCAATACATGGTGCCATTTTACATTGTTTATTTATTTTTTTAGTATCAAGGCTGTAACATAAAGAAAGCCAGTTCTTACCACAAACCATCTTTCAATCGCAAATATTGCAAAAAGGATTAATATATCCTCATTGTGAACGTTTAAGACAAATAGCAACACTTAAAACAACTTCCGAACTGGAAAAACTTATGTGGCAAGGTGAAGAAACAATGCCCGAGCGGGATTCGATCCCCAGACCTTTGGGGTGAGAGTCATACGCTCTAACCACTCAGCCAAAAGGACATCCCCTTGGCCAAGTAGCCAGGGCGCAAGATCAATCGGGACATTGTGACAGGATGCTCGCACTGTCACATCTTCCTCCCTCTTTCCACAAGCACGTCCTCGAGCGCCCGCGCAGGGTGCCACCAACACTGCCACACTAATATCCGCGATAAACATCTGTTTAAGTACCGGAAGAGGTTATCTTTGCTTTCTGAATGTCCATATTGCTAGATATGCCGAGTTTTAGGGCGAAATCCTGGGGAATTTTGTCTAGAAATGCAATTACCTCACCGTGCGCGATCCCGCGGTGGCTAATCATTTTTTGGCAGCGAGTCGATTTATGGCACAACACCGGCTCGGGTTTCTCCTCCTCCTCCCTCTTTTCTTCTCCAACCTGTCGCTGGGCTGAGGCTCCATCACTTCCTAAATTGATTTTACTTGAACCTTCACTACCAAACAACTGTGAGATTTTAATACATGTGCCAGCATCAGCCTGAAGGGCCAGTCTCTTTTTTAGTCGAATTTTCTCCGCTCCTCCTTTCCGTTTTTTGTTCTCCATTTTGTTAAGCTCGTCTGTCTGTTTACTGAGATTCACAAACAACTGGCGGGTGCATCAGACCTCTGGCTATTGGTCCAGCCCAGAGTGTATTATTACCAATTGGCCAATCCACCAACTTTTACGAGGCGTCGCGTGGGGCGGCGCGGACAAGTTGTCCGCAACAACTAGAGGCCAGAAAAAAAAAAAAAAAAAAACAGACACCGGCCCATAAAAGATGAAAGGGTCGGCCCAGCGGGCAATTGCCCGCTATGCCCTATGGTCAGTCCAGCAGTGCTTACATGGACAAGCACCATCTTACATTGGTGATCTTCTCAGTCCCTACACCCCCCACCAGGTCCCTGAGGTCCAGTGACCAAAGCCTACTGGTTGTGCAGCGCACCAGGCTAATGGGCTCGACACATGGGAGGCAACATCGCCTCTCGTCCATTCATTTTCAATGAGACATGCGCGACAAAGCGATAATCGCGGGTCTCCCTCCTACCAAGCGAAACGCGAAAAACATGCGTGTGAAATTTTGCGCTCGTGCACGTATCGTGCACAGGCGACCCAGCGACGCGATCCCAGAAAGTTGAAATATTTTCAACTTTTCATCGCTGTCGCTCGGACGAGGACCAATCAACGGAGGTTTCATTCACTGACCAATGAGCGGACAGGATGCTCCGTACATCTCCGAGCAAACATGGAGGAGAAGTTGATTATTATTATGTTTTATAGTAAAATCAGAAGTAAGATTTCACGTAACTCTAGCAGCACCTTGTGAAACATCATATCTACCACTTTATTAACTCTGAACCGCTTAAATAACCTTAATTCTCTCCAACCTGACACAGCCAAGCAAAACAACGGAAGTTTCGATTTCGCCATGGAACAGAACGCGTAGACGGCTTTGCCGCTGGCCGCTGCCGCGGATCGCCTCCCGTGTGTCAGGTAATAAAAGCGACAGCGACAAATTTCGCTGATCGCGGTCGTTTGTCGCCTCCCGTGTGTCAAGCCCATGAAGACCAAAGGTGACAGATCATTTGCTGCTGTGGCCCCCAGACTCTGGAACTCTCTCCCCTGAGCCTGAGATCAGTGGACTCAATGGTCTTCTTTAAAAAGCAGCTGAAGACTCACCTGTTCAAGCTGGCTTTGGTGACCTTCATCACCACCCTCTCCTTGTTCTGCTTTTTCTACCTTTTCTGCCTTTTCCCTGGATAACTGATTTCCCTCATTCCTATTCTTTTTCACTTTCCTTACATTTTTAATCACACTTTTTTTCTCTCTTTAACTATATGTTTTAATCATTAAAAAAATATTTTTTATACATATCACATTTTTTGTTCTTGTGAAGCACCTTGTGATTTCTATCTTGAGAGGCGCTATATAAAAGATCATTGTCTTTCTTCCTTTCTTTATTTCTTAATATTAATGGGCATACGCGTGATATTTTATTTTACTGCTGCTGTGTTACTGTCTTTTAAACTGTTTGATAATGTTAAAGGCCCATCTAAGGAGTTTAACTTAACCTTACTTTGTCTTTGTGTGAGTGCAAAAGGTTATGACCTTGCCATATAAACATGCTGAAACGTATTAATCACTGTAATCACAACATAACATTCATTTCACACTTCATTCATTGAACACAGATTAATGAAACATTTCATTATATTATAATTATTATAAGTAGCTGTAAACAAACGTTTATTTAATGATTATCTAGCTTATAAGTTGTAAAAGTTCATATCTGATTTAGGAAATCATTCTTTGACTTGGCAACTAATCTGAGCTGGAGTGCTCCTTCTATGGAGGCATGAAGACCTGAAAGATTGGACCTTGAGGAGAGAATGTGATGTTGACATGTCGTTATCTGTGTTCAGAGCTGCAGAGACTCTGAGCTCCAGCTGATGGGATGATGGCAGGCCAATTTAAAGGGGACACATGCAGTCTTGTGTCTCCTTTTTGACCAGAAGTTGAATGGTCAAACTGTACCTAAAACTAGCCATTGCTGGACGTTACAATGTGCACTGTATATTAGCTAAGGCTATAAATGCAGTAGTGTTCATAATTTGTCCCCATCCAGATAAACAATAAAGACTTTGAAAACTAGTGTCATCTTTCTCTGACAACACACATATATTTCTACTAAGAACTCAAAAATAAACTCCATTGATTTATAGAAACTGAAAATACAGAGAAGTGACAATGTATGATTCAAAAACAACAAACATTTTTTTAATTTTAGAAGTTGAATTAAACTCTGTACAGGAGTTAAAGTGCTGCTGTAGTTATTAATAGAAATCTGTAACTAAATGTTCTCTTTTTTGGTACAGTTCCATTAATTTCATAAACTATATATTGGGACCTTCAGGCTGTTTCTTCCAAATTTCTTTCTTTTTTTTTTTTTTTTTTTTTTTACTCCCCTCAGCCAAGGAGTCACCAGACTGTAGCCAGAAAACCACAGAAGTTGGAGTTTGTGTCAAAAGCCACCAACAGGTAAAATCTTTTAAGTTTAAGAGATTTATTTAAACACGAGAGATAAAAATTAACTTAAATAATTTCCTGCAGCTTACTTCTAATGTCTCTATAAGATCTGATTTTACATGATGAGGTGCTCACAAATAAAACATTTAATATTGAAATGGCATGACCTCTGCCTAGGACTGATGTCATGGTTATACAATTATTTGTGTTAAAGATATAATAAAATTTAATGGTAATATTAGCATACATTGTAGTACAGTATTTTACTTTCTTCTATGAACTTGGGCACATTTCTTTTGGCAAAATTTATTAAGTTACGAGCAAAATCATTATAATTAGACAGTTATTGTTCTGAAATAGTTTTTATTACTGTAAAAACTGTTTTTTTAATTTTGAAAATTAATCTTTTTAATGAGGTAGAAATAGTTTGACATCCCCAAACAGCAAGTTGTTTACTAAAACACAAGAATCGTATTTAACCAACTGTTTAATCATACCAAAACATAAATTTAAGTTAAAATCAAGATGGTCTTGGCACGAATCAGTTGTTATGTCTTTCCTCCCACACGTTCTAATTCACAAGGAAAAGAGTTAGCTGTATGGATTGACATTAAACTCAAGATTTGCCTGTTTTAAGTTGGTGTAGCTGATCTAAAGTAGATCCGAATCATAATAAAAGCCATGAAATCACAGCTAAATCTGTTACCTGGTTTGAAGTCAGTCTGATCCTTCAGGTGCTGTAGAGCGCAACGGCTGTTAAACACCACAGTGTCTCTCCTGACACCTGAGCCACCGGTACCTGTAAAGGGCGTGTTTCCTTATGACGAGGCCACAAGTGATGATGGCTGATTCCTCTGGTGACACAAAGAGGAAGAGCACGTTCTAATGTGTCTTTTATTTCAAATGCACTCAGATGTTGGCACATGAATGCTGGTGTTAAATAAAAACCTGCAGAGTTCAGGTTTCGAGGAAGCAGGTTTTATTTTGAGTTTCTTCTAAATGTTAGAACGGCTCCTTTGACAACGACACCCGCTCTGTTCCCGTGGGACAAGAAGATCCCACAAGTTAAGACATCTACCCAAAAAAAATGAATTAACATCCAATAACATCTGAAATATGTTTCCACCTGTCTTCAGGGGGTATTTTTGCTTCAATAGACCACAGAAACTTGCAAATGTGTACAGTAAGTATTACTGAAGCATTTTGAAAACAAACAGTAATGGGAACAGGTAATTCCCTTTACATGTGCGCACACACGCACACACACACACACACACACACACACACACACACACACACACACACACACACACACACACACACACACACACACACACACACACACACACACACACACACACACACACACACACACACACACACACACCATAGCAATCATTCCCAGATCAAGTTAAACTGGTTTCCGTTTCCCAGACTGTACTGAGTTTTTTTTACCAGGGCTTTAGATTTTATTTAATGGGGGTTTGCTTTGCTGTTGGGAAACCTGAAAGTCAGCATTGAGTTTTCCCACAAAAAGGTATCAATTTCAACATTGAAGCTTCACCAAAGCAATAAATCCTTTTCTCAAAAGCGAAAAATGTATTTTCAAGGGAACAAGTGGCAGAAATGTTCTATAAATACTTGGTGGATGCATCTTCCCTTAGACAGCTGTGTGGCTGGATCTGAATCAGAAAATGAGAAAAAATTATATTAACCTGCTCTAAGTCACGCTAAAAAAAATCATCTGATTTATGCTTTTTGATCCAATTCAATTAAATTCAAGTTTATTTATAAAGCACCAAATCACAACAAGAGTCATCTCAAGGCACTTGACAGAGTAAATATTCCAATACAGGTCAGTTCATTAAGCCAATCAGAAAAAAGTTTCCTATATAAGGAACCCAGCAAATTGCATCAAGCAATCCTTTACAGCAGTCCTCATACTAAGAAAGCGACAGTGGCACAGGAGTTAAGTGCTCGCCCCGTAATCGGAAGGTTGCAGGTTCAAGCCCCGCTCAGTCTGTCGCTGTCGTTGTGTCCTTGGGCAAGACACTTAACCCACGTTGCCTGCTGGTGGTGGTCGGAGGGACCGGTGGTGCCAGTGCTCGGCAGCCTCACCTCTGTCAGTGCGCCCTAGGGCAGCTGTGGCTACATCGTAGCTCATCCTCACCAGTGCGTGAATATGCGTGTGAATGGGTGAATGACTGATGGTGTTGTAAAGTGCCTTGAGGGGTTCCATGACTCTAGAATGTGCTATATCAAATACAGGCCATTTACCATTTACCAAAGCATTTAGCGACAGTGGAGAGGAAAAACTCCCTTTTAACAGGAAGAAACCTCCAGAGGATCCTGGCTCAGTATAAGCAGCCATCCTCCATGACTCACTGGGATGGAGAAGACAGAGCAGATACATGCATACACCAACACCAGCCCACCCACACACACACACACATCCACACACACAACATATATACCAAGTAATGTTTCTATGGTTACATTGTGATTTCTTCATAAATATTCTATTTGGTGAGAGACAAACTTTATTGTATTTACCCTAGTGAATCTATAATTAAACGGGTGAACTAGTAGTAGCACATTCAATGTCAAAGAAAGTAAAATGTTATTATCAGGAGAGGGAGAATGTTTAAATGGTTAGCAGCAGTGTTCAAGCCGATGACCCCCTCCATGAGGGTAGCACAGCATATTTGATCATCCAACTGAACTCAATGTTGTCAGACAGGTGAAAACTCCATCTGAAAAATAAATTAATCTCAAAACAAACTATCACTGACATCTTTTAATAAATCAAAAGAAGTAGAACGTGACACGAACAGCAGGACTCAAGCTGGCTGAATTTCTGCATCACTCATGAAATAAAAAAGTGAATGAAATTGTAACGGAAACAAAGTGTTGTAACTAACCAAAGTTGTATTTTAATACACTGTTAGTAGTTCACTTTTTATAAACAGAAGAATAGGCTGTTTTTATCATCAGGGAGTTTAATTAAACACTCTGTATTGACTTTGAGACAAGAAAAGAGAGAGATATGGGATCGTTTGAGAATCTTTAATTTCTGAATTATAAATTCTAAACAATCTACCAGGACTACTCTGTGATGGATGAGAATGGATTCGGATGTTGTGTTGGTGCGTGTGTGTGAGTGTGTGTGTCTGGTTCAGATTCTCTAGGATGACGTAATCGAATCTGGTCGTCTTTGTTATGACTAGATATCACGAGGCTTATAAAGTGATGACGTGAGCCGCTATTTTGCCGTGTACGTACCCAGTGGGGTCTCCCAAGTAGATCAGGAATTGCCAGGTCTGGAAACCTCGGATGTACGGTGGAGCTGTTGGTGCAGCGATCACAACGTTTCAAAGCCCGTCTGGAGGGTCGACCCGGTACCGTTCAGCGGCGTCAGCAGGTGCTCTTATTTTGAAAGGACGTCGTCTGGTTGTTAAACGACGAAAATCTCCCGTTTCACAGTTCTTAGTTTAAAGAAAACGCATCCGGCCAGGCTGCGCTTGTCTTTAGGATGATGGTGAATAGAACTGAAGTCAAAATGGAACTGACTTAAAATGGCGTTGCCTTGTTTTATATCTCTGAATTGTTGATAAGTTTCAGTAAAGTAGATTGGACACTTGAAGTCAACACCAGATTCTCCTGCGGCAGCCGAAAGCTCTGATTGGTTGGAACAATGTGTCATGCGTTTCTATGGAGATGAGGATCAGTATGTCTGCACCAGGGGCGGATTAAGAACTGAAGAACATCCGGGGCTTAACACACACACACACACACACACGCACTCGCGTGAACGCACGCACACACACACACACGTGACATGCACTAGTCAACATCATATGTGTCTTGTACAACATAATTTTTAATCTGAAGCTACACATTAAGCATATTCAGGGCAGAGTATTGTTCCTGTTAGTGTTTAGTGTGAGATGATAATAAATATTCCCTTTCTTTCTCCAACAACTTTACCTGATAGTAAGCTAACTTTAGGCAAACCAGCAGCACAACAAATATTTTCAAATAAGACTCACAAACCTGAGTCAACACCAGTCTCATCAAAGCTGGGGTTCTGTCGTTGTACTTTTGGTCTAAAAAAACGTCCTTATGTCCATCTTCACTCATGCGTTTCAGGCAGAGAGTGTAGAAGAAGCCGGCTGCTGAAGGGCTTCTTCTTCAGTGGTGGAGGCTCAGGCAGGCTGTATACAAACTACTGCCAGCTGCTCCCTCTCTGCTGGACTTTGGTACTGCATGTTACTTCCGCGATTTAGATCCGGGGCTTTCCATGAAACATCCGGGGCTTCAGCCCAAGTAGCCGGGCCTAACGCCGCCCCTGGTCTGCACCGTAGTCCTGGTTTCATTAAACATAATTCATGACATATTTATTTCACAGATCATTCACTTGATTATTGTTGATCAACATCTGTTTTGCTTAATAATTTTAATCACAAATAAAGTACTTTGATTAAGTAAAGCTTCTTCTTCTCCTTCGGACTCTTCTGATGGAATGTAAACAGTCTGAGGAACAACCCGACCTTGGTTTTTCTACACGGTGTTATTGTGCCCAGGGGCCAGCTGTATGGAGTTGAAAACCATGAACTTCATAACCCTACATATCCCCCCTTTTCAAGGTCAATGTGGTCCTTCAAGAGACCACTTGGTCGTTGAACAAACCCAAGTTATGAAGAATCTCGACAACAGAACCGGATGCGATCCCAAGGGAACAGCCGTCTGTGGTGAGGCACGAACCCCACGCCGGAGAACAGTCTTGCACACTCCTCAGGAAGAACACAAGTCAGCAGGTTATTAATTATTCCCCATGGAAGTCATAAACGAAGCAACAGCAACGTCATATCCTCACGGGCAATAAAGCAAAGCAGGAGCAAATCTTGAACGTATCCACGAACAGGGTAGTATTCCAATTAAAAATCGATTGTTGTATCCGCAGGCAGGGCAATATTCCAAATAAAAATTGAACTTTGAAAGAGTACTTATCGTAATCCACAAAAAGGGAAGAGCGGGTGACAGTAAACCCAACGAATGAGGCGTCCCAGCAGCCACGCCGGGACCACAGTCGTCCAAGGCCAACGAGCCGGAGCACCCTCAGGAGTAGTCGATGCAGATGACGAGTCACGGATCCACCCCCAGGACGCAGGATCCTCACACGCTCAACAGAGGAGAGAGAGCACAGTGTAGGCACTTCAATGTAGACACGACAAAAGTGCATTTCATGTCATCAAAGAAATAAAAATAATAAAAACCTAACTCTATGAGTGCCTTTTGTACTATGTGTTAGTTTTAAGTGTAATTACCCATTAAGTGAAGAAATGGATGCAGCCCTGACTGTGTAAGATGCAAAAAGGGATGATGCGAGAAGCAGAAAAATGAAAGAAACCCTAACTGGTATCAGTGAATCCTCACTGTAAATACTCGTGTCAGGACAGGGGCAAAATTGGTTATAGCCCAGTAGGATAAATCAAAGAATTGATAATCACAAACATAATTTTCACTGTTAAAATCAACTGGTCAAAGGTACTATAAAAAAAACAGAAATGTAAATCAGCACTAAAATGTAAATCAGTGGTTAGTAATCATGTTCATGTTAATGTACCCCTAAGGAATTGTGATTAGTAAAGATTAAAAAACACAAAATTTTGGACAACAGTACTATGTGGCCTAACCCACTCACTGTTACCTGGCCTTTTACCTGACTCCAGGAGCCCACAGCACGTCCATCTCAACACACCTTAAGTCTGCACGTGACGTGTAACAGGAAAGACA